GGCTCCCAATACCCCACGTTCCCCTAAAGCTCTGAGTGGCACTGCAAATTTTAAGGGCAGGCGTGGCTTAACATCAGTCGCACGACTTGTTCGTCCCGTCACTTAATATTATAAAAAAGAACTTGGCCTTTCTTTGAGACGTCCTTAATTTGGTCTTGCTAATTTCGCTTTGATTACCAGTATTACTATTGCAAAACAAGCGAATACGTAGTCTTAAACTAGTTCACAAACAATTATTATCGTCACAATTGAAGAGCAAATAAAATGAAACTTGTAGCAGTTGTTTAAATATTAAATAAAATTTTCTGCGAAAATGTTTCGACTATAGTGTATTTTGAAAGTAAACCTACAGTTGAAAAGGTAGTTAGCCAAAGTTTTGCTAGTAGTTAGTAATTTTAACTGATTTAAAAAGACAAATTTCAATTTGAAGTGCATTAATAGTTAACAAGTTACTCGGTTTAAACCGTGATAACGTTCCGGGAACTTTTGAACGGCTTTATAAAAAGTATTTTGAAATTATCTGTAAAACAAAGAAGTCAGTTGGTCCACATTTTGACGATTTATCTAGAAATCTGATCTTTGAAAAAGTGAAAGGCAAGTGTGAACGAGAACAACCTAGAACAAGTATCTTGGCCAAATTATACGACGCAATAAAGCTTTTTGCATAAAACACGCTACAATAATGAACAACAGACAATCATCACGTACCAGCCAATTCATCAGCAATCAAGGTGGGAGTAACCAATGTAGCAGCTATCAGAGTAACATTAGCAACCAATCTGGCAACAGTCAAACTAGTACCAGCCAAAGTATCATTTATCAATCTGACGGCAATCAATATAGCAGCAACCAATATTGCAGCAGTCAGTCTGGTATCAGTTCAAATGTCTGTTATCAATCCAACAGCAGCCAATCTGGCAATGATGAATTATGCAGCGATGAGTCTGGTGCTAGCCAAAATATCATTTACCAATCTGGCGACAGCCAAGGTATAATTTATCATTCCAGCGGAAGCCATCCTGGTCGTAAAAGAGAAGGCAAGAAAGGAAAGGATAATAAGGGTGAGGGCAAAAAGGGGGTAGGCAATAAAGGCAACAAAGGAGAAGGCAGCAAAAGTAAGGGCAACCAAGGCAACAACAATCAATCTGGGAGCAACCAGTCCAGCAACAATCAACCTGGTAATAACCAGACTAACTATAACAAATTTTACAGTTACCAATCTAACAGCAATAACTCTAACAATAACAACCAATCTTGCAGCACCCAGTATAGCAACAACCAATCCAGCAGTAACCAATCTGGCAACAACCAGTCTACTAGCAACCAATTCAACATCCAACAAAGCAGCAACAGTCAAGCTGGTGATAAGCACCAGCAATCTCGTGAAGAACCATCGGTTGAATCAGTAAACACTGGTGCTAATTCCAAAGAACCGTCTACACAGGCTGGAGGCTTTAGTGTTAACATTGGTGTATATTGCTACATGACTGACGGCAATAAGGAAGATTGTAATAAGCAAAAGGGCAACAATCGAGAGGGCAATGAATGTAACAACTACCAATCTGACAGCAACCAATTCAGCAGCAATCAATTTTGCAGTAACCAGTCTAACAATAACCAATACAACAGTAATCAATCTAGCAACAACCAATGCAGCAGCCAATCTGGGAACAACAACCAGCAATCCAGTAAAGAATCATCTAGCAGTCAGAGCAATTCTAAAGAACAGTCTTCACTGGCTGAAAACGTTGGTGTTCATATCGTTGTAGCTTGCTACAACGACGGTAAGATTGTAAACTCTGGTGTTAATGTCACTGTGCTTCAATATGGCGACGGTGATGGCGTGCAATGTAACACTGGAGGAAACTACAACGTAAGTAACACCGAAAGCAGCTGTAGTTCTTCCACGGACAGTAACGACGCTTTCGGCAGCAAAACAAGCAGCGACCAGTGGAGCCAATCTGAATCAGATAATGATGACTTCTAAACATTTACAATATAACTACGGTTCACAACAATTATGGATTTTTTAAATGGCGGGTTCTTTGTTTTTTTTTAAATTCTTCCATAGATAATACAACTCGAACTAAAATGTTGTAATAGCAAACACGCATACAGCCAGATATACTGTATAAAAAAATTTGCTAAATTTTTGTACGGAATATAATTAAAATCAATTAAAATAAATTCTTAATAATAAGTATTTAAGTAGTATGTGGCTAAATTGCAATAAAATTTCTGTTTTGATAGTATTTTAAGCGAATGTTTTAATTTTGAACTTAAGTAACCTCTGACCTATGCAGGAAAGTATGTCGTGCTACAAATAAAAAAGAGCTCCTTACCAACCATGGCTGTAATAGGAAGAAAAAAGTCTCGTGGTTTTTATTTGGGGCATTATAGTTAAGTTAGCCACCATGCAATCATAGTATTTACAACCAAGTGTGATGAAAATAGAACTAAAGAAGTTGTATGTTTGTGACGTGAGTCATTCGTCATTAAAACGTATATTTACTTACAAACATCTTATTTGTTTAAATTGCATAGGTGTTTCATAAAACAACGGTACATTTAAAAATACCAAAATATTTTCCATAAAGATGGCTGATAGAGTATTAACAATGATTGGTGGTGAACATGACGCGAGACCGCTGAGTAAAATATACTGTTTTATTTTACTTTCAATGTAGTTTTTTCGCAAATGTATTAAAAAACTGCGTTTAATACATTTGTCTCTGGCTCTGGTAGCCCCGAGACTCGTGAATAATGACTAACTTTCCGCATTTGTATAAAAATAACTATTATACATAAGGCAGCTTCCGTGTAGCATTATGAGTATATAAATAGTAGAGATGTTGTTAATTTATACCATATTTATACTATATAAGATCTGGTGTCAATATTTAGTCTTTAGTTTTTCTTCTTATTAATGTTACAATATTCAAAAACAGTAGACTTATTCAAAGGAGCGAAAGTTCCTTGTATCCGTAGATTATTTTTACTGGGAGCTACCGTTTAATAAATTTCATCTGTTACCTTTATATCTACGGAGAAATATAGCTGATGAGTGTTTTCTGCTAAACATTGCATAGAAGATTGATTGTCCAGAGCTCCGCAGTAACATTATACTCAAACTTCCAGTTAAGAAGTTTCGTAAGAATAATATGCTTCATGTTCCATTTCGTCGTACCAATTTTAGAATGAATTTTTAAAAAATCTGAAAAATGTTATCATTAGCTTCGTTTAAGCAACTCAATGACGATGGTCACATAGATATTTTCTGTAACAGCGTTAGGGCGCGTGTGCACGCTAAGAAATTCGACATGTCTACTACAGAAAAGATGAGCATGGTCTTGTACACGACAACAACTTTGTCGGATCTAGCCACGAGAACATCTCGTGTCTGTTGCAGACGAGAAAATTATGAGTATGTACACGATACGAATGCTTTCGGACAGACGTGTGTAGGGTAAAATGTGTCAGTGCAATACAAGTCTTCCAGGTAGCTGTCGTTTTAATACCTAAATATATTGTTGTCTATGTTGAATACTAAGCAACACCCGCCCACGCTCATAAACGTTCGTTTACTGACAATGCACCTAACCCATAACCCATAACAATTGCGGTAGAGCGCGTCGTGTCGTGGGTAGACAAGATTTTTTTCTTGTCCGGCAGTGTACACAGTTCCTCATGAATTTTTGCACAGATCCGGCGACTTTTTTAACGTGGACACACGCTTTTCAAGTGACTGATAAAGCGATTGATGTGATCGCATAGAAGCGCTATTTGTTAGTGTTATTTTCATATGTGGAAGATTTTAATTGGCATCTCATTAATTTTAAACCCATGTTGTAAAAGTATCTGTAAGCTTCCCTAAGAAAATAAAATAAAAATTATACGCATCAAAAAACTGTAAATATGCCTTTGTGTTCTGTTATGTGGAAGAAGAGACTTATCAAAATTTCTTCAGCAGTTTTAATGGATTTTTGTTTCCACGCATCTACGAAATACTGGCAAATAAATGCAAAATGAAATTTTGTAGTAGTAAAACTACAATTAACACACATCACATTCATTGTCCTTCTTTTATTTTATTTTGTACGACAAGTTGGAATCGTCGGAGGGGCAAAAGCTTATCTTTAAGCTGGCACGTTCGAGGGTCTTAGCGGCACAAGATATTTCCAAGTGTCGCTGCATTGAAGACCCTCATGGCAACCTTATATGCGAGGTCGACGCGGTGAAGGAGAGATGGCGCTCATATTTCCACGAGCTGCTGAATCAGCAGCACAGAGAGGTGCAGCCACCGGTCCTCCCTCCGAATAAGGGACTAGTGCGACCGATAACGCCTGAGGAAGTCCACTTAGCTCTTCGCCGCATGAAGAATCGGAAAGCTGTCGGAGCCGATGGGGTTCCCATCGAGGCCTGGAAGGCAATGGGTCCCCGTAGTGTGGGCATCCTTACCGGCCTCTTTAATCGCGTGCTCCTCACCGGTCCCTAACCAATGGAGACTGAGTATTATCACTCCAGTCTTCAAAGGGAAGGGATCGGTGCAAGAGTGTGGCAATTATCGGGGCATAAAGGTCATGTCCCACACCATGAAGCTCTTCGAGCGTATAATAGACTCTCGGATCCGACAGGAGAGTGCTGTCTTGGTAGGGTCAATATGGGTTTCGGCCTGGTCTTGGGACCATGGATCCTGTTTTTGCCCTAAGGGTCATCATGGAGAAATACAGATTGAAGAATACGCCTCTGCATTTCATGTTTCTTGACATGCAGAAGGCCTTCGACTGTATCCCCCGTGTAATGATCTGGTGGGCACTGACATCCAAAGGGGTACCAGAAGCTTATATTGATATGCGTGCCAATGGTCTCACCACTATGGATGCCGAAGACCGCGCAAAGTGGAGGAGAAAAAGCAGGAAAGCGGACCCCGGGTTCCGCAGCAACACTGCTGAGGACGCAACCGGGACAACGCGCAGATGAGAGAGAGAGACATTCATTGTCCTTCTTTCTCTAGCACGCACTCTCGCACACTCACTCACATCCACACACGCAAACACTCTCATAAACATGCAGCATAAACTGTAATATACCTATTGTTAGATTAAGTAACTAACTTGAAATTAGTTCCTAATTTATACCTTTTGCAATTTCTTGCGAAACAAAAAAATTGTATATTAATTAAAAGAGAAATTCGTAATGCAAAGCATGTTTTATTTAACAACTGAATACAAAAACATCATATCACAATAAAAAAACTGTTAAGTTGTTAAGTGCACTAAACGGCATATCTACAAGGATTTGAAAAATTAATAAAACTACAAAACACATTGAATTTATCGGCTAATATAACGCCATATTGGTCAACATGTCAAACGACAACATCGGATGACGCAGGAATATAATTATTTAAGATCAACACGTCAATATACAATTCAATCGTATCATATTAATACACTCTGAAATTTTAAACTTAACCACCAATTGAACGTGACAACTAACGTGCGGTAACTGTTGCTATATGTTTTATTTTCATGATACTAAATGATGGGACGACCAAGTCTTGCGCCTGGTGGTAAGTGACATGTATTGTCACTCAGAGCTTTAAATCGCAAAGTTCTGAGTGGCATTGCCCGTCACCATGAGACACAAGTTGGAACCCTCCTGCTACGAAATTAATTTGCTACTGTAATATGGCCTTAAGTATTCTAATGTACATAAATTTTAAAATCCAATTCAAAGTGTAAATAACACTTTACACTAGTCAACATGTTGGCCAACACGAGCAACGTGTTAAGGTGACATATTGACTGAAGTCACTGCAAACTTATTGAGGTGTTCAACGTGTAAATGTTACGGCAGAAAACTAATTTTACTATAAGTAATCAAAGTACTAAAAAACCGACACAGAGTTAGAGTTAGAGAACCATGTTTTCTCAACAAAACCAAAATTAGAATAGCAACAGTGGTTGTTAATTTAGATGCATTACTTCAAGAATTGGTAAAAGCCGAATGTGTGTTAATATGAAGGAAAGATGGTATGAAACCAGCCTGTAACTTTGACACGCTCTATAAAGACTATAATACTACACAAAATATTTTCAGGAAAGATATCAATGACTAGTAATATTTCAGGTTAGAATTAGCAGATACAGTCGAATTTGTAAATCTGACTTGTTTACCTGCACCACTTTCTAGGTATTCGGCAGCTTTGCTATAATCTGCTAGGTTTGAAGTTTCTAAACTGGTTTCAGCTTGGGAAATGGTTGCTGCATCTTCGTTAAACGTCGTAAGGTTGGCTGGCGGTTGATTATTAGATTCGTGATTATCTAAATTGGTTATACAGTTCATTGATATATTAGTTGCAGGAATTGACATTGGTATGGTTTCGATGTTTGGCTTTGATATAACTTTTGATAAAATTGATGATAGCAGATTGGTAGCTATGTTGGTTGCTGATATATTGACTAGATTGGTAGCAGATGGCGTATTTGTTATTAGTTGTTTATCTAAACTAACGGTTTCAGGGGTTTCTGATTCTATACTTGTTTCTACGCTGATTTTTATAGGAATAACCATACAAATAGAGTTAGTTTCCGTTAAATCAGTTACGAGCACTTCTTTTGAAATACCAGCTTTTTCTAGATTTGCTGAAGATTCTATAGCTATAATGTTAATAATTGGTGAGGTTGTTAAATTGGTTGCCGCTGGTTTTGAAGTTATTGTGGTTTCAGTAACAACTGCTGTAGAATTTATTTCAAAATCTACAGGATCTAAAGCAGCATCTGTTAAAAGTATATGCGTTGTACTAGTTGATGCTTCTGTATAATCCAAACCTGTTCCTGGTTTACTTTCGTTGTTAATTTTATGTTTTTCGATATTCGAGATGTCAAGTTTGGCTGCAGCCATTTCGGTTGTATCTAAACTAAACAAGTGTTTTCTAATGTCATCTTTAAATGATATGTCACTTAATATAGACGGAGTTACGGGATCTAGGTAGGTTTCCGAAGCAGTGGTTGA